CTCGGCAAGACGAGCGCGGCTGGCCGCGGGATTTCGCGTTGGCTGGGAGGGGAGAGGCTCTCGGTATAACAGCGGTCTGTCGCAAACCGCGCTCTTTTTTCACACCTTTCCGCGCCCTCCTCAGTGGACTTAGCTGAAAGCTCCCTCTTGAACAAGCTCATCCGCACGTCCCTCGTGGAGTCCAGCCATCACGTCGAGATCCTGCAGCAGGACCCCACCTCACCGCTGTTTTCCGTCAAAACCTTCGAAGAGCTGCCCCTGTGAGTACGTGGCAGCCCCGGCCCCAGCACGGAGCTGCCGTTGGGCCCCGTTATATCACACGTGATGCGTTTCTCTGCCTTTTTTTTTTTTTTTTAACAGGAAAAACGAGCTCTTACGAGGGATTTACAACATGGGCTTCAACAGACCGTCCAAAATCCAGGAGACGGCTCTGCCGATGATGCTGGCGCATCCGTGAGTACAAGGGGGAGCAGACCGGCGCCCCTGAGACCTCCGTGGCGTCGGGACGTTAACGCGGGGACGCCGGAGCCCGGCGCTCGACTTGAGCCGCCGTTGCCTTGCAGGCCCCAAAACCTGATTGCGCAGAGCCAGTCGGGGACGGGGAAAACTGCAGCTTTCGTCTTGGCCATGTTGAGCAGAGTTAACGCTGCCGAGAGATACCCGCAGGTAACGTGGGGAAGGGGAAACCCGTGCCGCGGGGGTTTGCCCCTGCCCTCGAGACATTGCGGTGTCTGTCCAGGGCCAGAGCTCGGGCTCTGTTCAACAATAAGGATTTTGGTCCCTTTTTCTATGTGATTTTTATATCTGCTGTGGCTACTGGTGTGGGAAGATAACTCCCCACCGTGTCACATCCCAGCTATACCCGGGCTAAAAATCATGGGACTGGATGAAGCCTCCAGCTGAAAGAAGAGACTTTTACTTGCTAACAGTGGATTAAGCCAGGGTTTAGGTATCCTGAGTTTAAATTACGGGGAACTTCTGGCCAACTTTAAAAAGCGGCCGCCGGGACTTGAGGAGCGCTTTTCTGTAGCTCGTTTTACAGTGCTAGTTTCTGGTTGCTTAAATGCACCTGCTAACCCAAGTCTCCTCCCTAGATTTCAGTATCATCTATCCGAGCTGCTTATTGCATGTTAAGGTCTCTAATCGCAAATGGACGAGGTAATTTAAACTGTCGCTTTAAAGCTGGACGCAGAAGCAAACGGCACCGCACCTCCAGAAGCACGTTTCCCCAGCAAAAATAGCTACATCGACTCCTTCCTGCCCAGCTCCCTCCAGCTGGGTTATGTTCCCAGCTTCCTAACCTCCAAATGTGACTACTGTAGCTGATCCCCGTGTGCTTTTGGAGGAGCTTAGCAGCGTGGGACTCTAGCGTTCCCTGATTTCCCACCTCGAAATAGTGTCATTTGCCCAGTATCTCTTGCCTCAGCAGCGGCCTCTGCTTTTAACTTGACGTGGCTCTCCTCTAACGGCTCCCTTTCCTCTCAAAAGTGCCTCTGCTTGGCTCCAACCTTCGAGCTGGCCCTGCAGATTGGGCGCGTGATTGAGAAGATGGGGCAGTTTTGTGTTAGCATCAAAGTTACGTACGCCATCCAAGGAAACAGAGGTGAGTCCAGCCCCGCTGAGCGGAGCTGCAGGAGATGCAACATTCCTATAAATGAATATAGGATAAACGCTAAAAGGCTTGAACTACCAGGCCGTCTCTCAGGTGCTTTACACACCTATGTGAGGGCGCATGCAGTTTTGGTGTATATATTCCCCCTCCTGCCAAGGAATATTGGTAGTGATCCCTGGTTCCTTCTAAACTCCCTCCTCCACCCTTTCTGCTGGTTTCTCACCCCACTCCGCTGTTGGGAAGCATCAGCCCTGCTTGACTGCTACCTGCAGTTTTAATCTGTGGAGCCCTGCGTTGTGGTGACCCCCCCACCAAAGGCATCGCTGGGCCGTCAAAAGGTGTAACAGCGGGGAGAAAACGTGCTCAAGCAGCCAGAAACACGTCACGTTTCGAATCGGGAGCGTGTGCAAAACTGCCCCACTCGTTCGTAGCTGGGCACGTGGCTGCTGGTTGTGTGGGAAGGTGGCCTGATGCGATTCCCTCCTTCTCGCAGTTCCTCATGGCACCATGCTGGAGGAGCAGATTGTCATCGGGACGCCCGGCACGGTGCTGGACTGGTGTTTCAAACGCAGAGTGCTCAACCTGAAGAAGATCAGCGTGTTTGTGCTGGATGAAGCCGACATAATGATCGACACTCAGGGCTTCTCAAGCCAAAGCATTCGCATTCAGAGGTGAATACTCGGTCAGCTTGCGTCCTGGAACGAGTTGGAGCTAAACCAGCCAGGTTTTGAATCAGTAGTTGGTTTAAAGATTAAATCTCAAGTTAAAAAAAAAAGGAAACTGAAATTCAAGTAGAGATACTCAAATACAGTGTTTCTGGATGACCTTAAATGAGTTGGATAGAGGAAGAAGGAAACTAAAGCCAAGTTTGTGCAAGAAAATGTAAAACTAGGGAGCCAACAAGACTGTTTCTGTCTGCAGTATCTCTCTGGTTTTAGGACTGGTCCCTACCTTGTTTCGAAAGCAGAGCAGTAAAACATGCTTCCCTGCTTTTTCCTGTTTGCTCAGCTTTGAATCGATCAGTCGCCAAAGTTGCTGAATAAGCAAAGAGAGTGTGCTATGAGAGTGGTGGAAGAGGTTTACTGCTGCGAAAATGAGCTCTTGCACATCAGCACGCTCCTATCTGCTTAGACCAGGCATCTGGCTTTCTTTAAAACTATGGCAGTTAGACACATAGGAATACTTTTATCTCGCTTAAATTTACTCTGACCTATTGCGTCACTGGGGTTAGCATCGCTTTGTGTCGAACACAGCACAAATAAAATAGTTGAAAATAGCTTTTTCTTCCGGATGTGATCCAGATTAATAAGCCCCTCTGTGCATCAGGCGGTTCTGCCTGATCAGGACAGGGTCAGTGATGGACCGTCAACTCCCCGCTGCCCAGGCCGACCCGGGCTGGAGTACCCTGGTGATACGGGTAGCGAGAGCAACAACCAGCGCAGCAAACCTCCTCTGTGTGCTGCACGGCTTAGCTGGAGGCATCTGGGGAGCAAAAAAAAAAATGCCTTGGGGCTAGCAGCCGGCCACTCCTGGTTTAAATAAACGCTGGTTTTAAACAATCTGGTTTTACCCCCTTCTCGCTGAAATGCAGATGGAAAAAGTTCTGCTCGTAAAGTAGCGCCCCGTGCAGATGAACTCTGCTAAGGGGATGCTAAAGATTCCTCTTTGGGCTCTTTCTAGCATGATTTAGGGACTGGGTTTATTACTTTTATAAGCTTTTCTGTGGCTGTTCTTTCAAATTCAATACATTCAAAGCATTCTCAGCAATCCCAGGAAATAGGAAGTTGGCAACTCAGAGTCTGTTACATGACATTTACAGTCAAAACTCAGCCTGGATCTCTTCATCCGCTCCCCCATAACAGGGCTTAATCACCCTGAACCCCAGCGTTAAGATGCGGAGAACTCCTCAGCAGATATATTTTATTTGCTGTTACCCAGGGCAGATCTCAAGCTGACCTGCATAAAAGCTCGCTCACAAAAGGCTCGCTTTGTCCATGACTAAAACGAAAGCTTTTCGAAAGCCTGTTGTCGAGCTGCTTTCACAGGTTATGGATGGCTTTGAATTGCTGCTAAAAATCTTTGTGGACCACAGAGGTATTTACAGAGCGAGTTACAGAGTTTAAGATGTAGCTAGCAATCGGGGAATACAGGGACCCAGTGCTCGGAGCGTGCGAGGGTTCTATGAGGGCAGTGCTCTGCAGATCCAAAGAAAGAGGCCACGTATCGACTGGGGGTTTTTTCCCTTCTCTCACAGATGATCTTTCCAGATAATACTATAAATGTGGAATTCACCAAAAAAAGCCAATTTAAGTCACTTGTTTAGACAGGTCTCTTCCACATGAGTGACATCTTGAGATGGAGAGAGCCCTTTGTCCCCAAAGCGTGTTGGTCCAGGGGTGCTAGCGGCACGTTGTACCACTCATGAGTCCTTTTTCCGCTCCAGGGTTTTACCCAAGGACTGCCAGATGCTGCTTTTCTCCGCAACCTTCAAGAAGACAGTGTGGAAGTTTGCGACGCAGATCATCAGCAACCCCATCGTAATAAAGCTCCGTCAGGAAGAGCTCACCCTGAGCACGATCAGGCAGTACTACTTCGTGTGCGAGAACAGAGTGGAGAAGTACAGAGCCCTGTGCAACATCTACGGCAGCATCACCATCGGCCAGGCTATAATCTTCTGCCAGGTAAAGCGGCTGAGTTGCCTCGCGAGGTCGTCGTATTTGTATAAACGATCGGCCTGACAGTCCCGACGGCAGAGCCGGGAAGCTGGGGTGGATATAACCAGTGATGGGTGCGCTCGGGTGGGTACACAACGTTCCTCCCATCACTGCCACCCCATCCCCTTGGCTTTCCCCTCCGCTTACATTCTTCAGTACCACCTCTCCTGGGGGGATAACACTGTAATTTGCTAGAGACTCGTTGCGTTTTGGTTTGCTGAGTGTATCTAGGTCTAAAAAGCTGCTCTGAACAAGAGCTTTGTCTGTGGTTCCTTGGAGATCAAGCACAAAGGCACCCAGGGGCTCCCCTGAAAGGGACAGGGGATTTGGGGGGA